CGAGTCTCTTCTTCATCTTTGAGGAAATCGTCCAACATTCGCTGCCCTAAAGAAGGACAGATGTCACGTAACAGTTCAGTATTCTTTTCTTTGTTACCAAAGAAATTCTCCTGTCTTGCAGTACTCTGCCAAGCTTTTGGAATGTGTCCTTGGTCATCTCAATACATCTACAGGTCTCACTGTCGCACTTACCGTCCTCTGTCAAGAAACTTCCAAGATATTTAAACTTCAGTGTCTGCTTGATTCTAGTGTTCCCAAACTGCAAATCGCATTTCTTGCTCATCATTTTACTGATGATTATGCATTCTGTCTTCTTCAGCATACAAAAAACAACTTACAAGATCAAGCAATGGCTACATAAATATTTCTTTTAACTAAAAAAAAGACATTTCAATGGGTCAATCCCACTCTCAGAGCAAGAGCAAATATATGAAAAACAAAAAACAAAGAAACACACCCACACACACACACACACACACACACACACACACACACACACACACACATATATATATATATATATATATATATACATATATATATATATATATATATAAAATACAGAATCATAATAAAATCCATTCAGGTGACAGTTTATTTCGTAGACATCTAAATCAACGAAATAAACTATCACCTGAATGGATTTTTATAGATACTGTATTCATTATTATATTGCTCTGCTATTACATTGAGCTCTGTTTGGATTTATATCCTCCTTGTAATGATCTCTACTAATAATCAAGTGATATTATATATATATATATATATATATATATATATATATATATATATATATATATATATATTGAGACATGTTTCTTTGAATAATTTAGACATGTTCCGTCTACTTATTTTCAGTTGGATCCTTACATATTGAGAAATTATCTTTTTGGACGATAGGAAATTGTCGTTTGCATACATGTTTCTTTAATTTGAAGTACTTTCGACATAGCACAATGTCATCATCAGGGTATTGTTTTTGCCAGATAAATATTATAGTGTTCGTTATTAAATATTAATTATTGTAGTAAATTATTCAGCCAAACATCTCAATGAAAACATGCTACCAAAATACACACACACACACACACACACACACACATATATATATATATATATATATATATATATAACGCTCTGTCCTTGCCTTTTTATATCGAGCATGTTATGACAAAAAACTACCTGCCTAAAATGCTTTCCCCCCAGTGGACTACGGAAAAAGAACCAGCAATTTTAGCACTAAAAAACTTGTATGCCCATACATACGCCCATAGATAGATAGATAGATAGATAGATAGATAGATAGATAGATAGATGTGAAAATACTGAGATAGATGTGAACAGCTGAGATACTTTGCATTGTATAATTAAATATATGTGTGTCAATATTTATAGTATAATATTGACATATATAATATGTCAATATTTATAGTAACATCAAAAATATAGCAATGATTCAAAAATCTCTATTATTCAGCATCTAAAATAGATGCTGAACTTGAATTTACTTGGAAGGGTTGTGAACTTCAACATTGTGGATAAAAATGCAATAATTTCATGAGCCTATGCCAATCGGTCCCTAGAAATGCCCTGTCTTGTGTATTCCTTGGATTGACGAGGTAAATGCAAGATTTACTGAGGAGATTTCTGTTGGCATAAAAAAAATTATTTTCCCGCCATCTCAATTCTTGTTTTTGGTGCCCAACCTATGTTGAAACCGACCCGGAAGGATATTCTTCCCACCCATCATTTTAGTTCTGTAATTTACCAATTTAGATGTCAGCGCGAGGCTGGCTATGTAGGCAGAACAGGTCAAAAGTTGGAAACACGGACCAAGCAACATGTACTAGACAATATTCGCAAGAGAAAGGTGGGCAATTTACATAGGTACGCAAATGTAACAGGTTGAGCGATAGATGAAAATTTTATTAAAAGCAAGCAGAGTGCACGATCCAGACATGTTATCAATGTGGAGCAAGGCTAACTCTCGTGTTTCACTTGAACGTATTGGAATCTGTGTATAATAAGTCCCACCAACCATCTCTCTGTAAGCTGAAATAATAGCCGATGAGCTTAAAATTAATTTAACCCTTAAGTATTATATTTTGTTGCATGCAACATTTGCTTTGGGTGCAATATATTTTAATCTTTCTGTCAATATTTCTGAGATGAGGTAATATGTACACTATTTACATTATTCGGACTATTGTCATCTTTGTCGCCATATTTATTACAACGTTTCAGCCGTTGTACGCTCCGGCTTTCTTCAGCTTGTTCGAATGTCGAACTGAACCCTGTATTTCGCTCACTAGGGTAGACAGATCTAGTTCCACGTGCCATGTCTAATGGATGTCAGTTACCTCCTGTTAATCTCATCAAGGACACATGGCACAGTGGATAAAGACGTTAGTTAGATCCAGTGCCAGGACCCAAAAAGTGTGAGTTCAATACCTGGTTAAGGCAGTGGAGAACTTTCACAGGAGAATTAACAAGAGATAACTGACATCCATTAGATATGACACGTGGAACTAAAACAGTCTACCCCAGTGAGCGAAATAAAGGGTTCAGTTCGACATTCGAACCAGCTGAAGAAGGCCAGAGCGTACAACGGCCGAAACGTTGTAATAAATATGGCGAAAAGATGAGGACAATTGTCCGAATAATATAAATAGTGAAAATATCATTAACATCAAAACCTTTTCCTTTCTTTCTAGCTACCAGGCTTAGTTACGTCTGGCACAACACCATAAAAGATGAGCAGAAGAAACTACCTACACTGCCAACTAATATGACAGTCCCAATTCAGTATAGTCCGAATAATGTAAATAGTATTTTAATCTTTCTGAACTTTTTTATCACCTGATGAGAGGGTTGAGATGAAACAGTTTAGCTGTTTTTTTTCTAATCAATATTATTTTATGGTATTACGATTTCTCAGTATTTTTTATTTTTTACTCCCTATATTTAATGAAGTGTTATGAATTATTTTTTAGTATGTCCGTTTTTATCCCACTAATGTTGTACCTTTGCGAAAACATATCAAACAATGTATTGGTTTGGCCAGACATTCCAAATACGGCAAGATGTCTTTCACACGGTGAGTAAAGTTGTTAGTATAAGAGTGATATGTACAAGCGTTTGTGTAAGACTGAATCTAGCTGGAAGAAACATAAACGTGCATATTGACGTGCGGTGATCAAAGAGATAAAATATAACATGGGGTTACACTGATAATATTTAACAGCCCCCCCGCCACAAGGGATCTATGTGACACAAGGCTGAGTTTAACGTGAGTTCTCCGAGCCCGTACGCTCAGTCAAAAATAATCCCTTAGAAACCGCATAAACGGGTTCAAGGCCTGTCTACCTCCCCGGACGAAACTTTGCTCTCCAATAAAGCCTCGTCCGGGTTCCTCTCTGCTCAAGGCAGAGAGTTCGACAGTAACGAACATGCTATGGCACTGTTCCCTTTTAACAGCCCCCCACCCACGAGGGATGTATGTGGCACAATGCCGAGTTTACCGTGGGAGGTACACTGATATCTCCTGACGAGTGGACCGAATGATTATAAAAAGCTTCGTCTACGAAACTCTGGAGTCTGGGTGTTGAATATAACATCAATCAGCCTAAGTGACAAATTTTATATTTATATTAATCCCATATATATATATATATGTGTGTGTGTGTGTGTGTGTGTGTAGAGAGAGATAGATAGATAGATAGATAGATAGATAGATAGATAGATAGATACACACACACACACACACACACACACACATATATATATATATATATATATATATATATATATATATATAAGGAAGAGCTTATAGTAGTTCCAACGAGAGAAAAGTGTGTATATTAAAAAGAAGAGAGATACTGCAAACGTTTGTGATTGTAATGTGGATTATTATATTTTACTTTATTTTCCATAATTTTACTACACGGGTTTCTGGTCTCCTGGCCGTCTTCAGGTAAAAGGCGGAGATTTCCACATATTAAAAATTAGAGATAAGGTCAGGACCGTTAATGTTGCTGATTCATCTTTGAATTTTGTCAAGAATATATAAATATATAGCAGGAACATCGGGTCATATGTGACAGCAATATTCTAAGCATGGGCGAATGACAGAGTTATAGATATATGCAAGTTAGATTCTGGAGAGAAAATTTTTTAGCACGTCACTGTGAACTAACTTTCTTAACAGCAGACTTAGCAATGGATTATGTCTATATATGTGTGTGTGTGTGTGTGTGTGTGTGTGTGTGTGTGTTGTGTGCGCGTGTGTGTCTGTGTATGTCCTAGAGTCATTTTAAAAAACAACATTCATCACGTGACCGATTAAATCAAACTTTGTAAACAGCCACAAGTTAGTGAAGCAATTGGCCATGTGTTTATATTCAAATTGTGCACTTTATTTTGGCTTCGACATGAAGTTTCCCTGCAAGGTTAATTTATAGAAATGAGTTTAAAGTGTCTCCGTTTAAGGAAGAGAGAGCTTCTAATTATCGTAGAGGTTTTTATTTATTTATTTATTTTTTGTTTATTTTTTAATTTATTTATTTAGCCTTTAGTTGAGCCATAACTGGCAATAAACGTTATAAATAGTAACTTATTATCGGGACGCTAATGAGAAAAAGCTGCGTTAGTTTTAAAGTTAAAAACAAAATGGTAGTAATTTTAAATCCTTGAATCGAAAGAAGATCGGGTTTTAGAATCAAGGAATTTAATTTAATGATAATTTTGAAAATTGCTGTTTAAATATTGTGGTAAAAAAACCCAAAATGGAGGTTGGAAGTGATTAGCGTTCATACAAGCTGAAAATAAGTGTGAACAATTAAAATAAACGAGAACTCTGAAAAGGCTTAATTGCAGTTGATCATTTTTTTCCTTGTAATTTTTAAAGTGGTGGGTTGATTGTCTGCAGTCAATTAGAAATCATCAGTTGGTGTTTTTTTATTAAAAGAATTGAGGAATCGGCTTTCTTTCTTTGTTGCTACATGTTTCTTAATTTCTCCCAATTCTTTCTTATTCAAATTTCTTTTTTTCAGTCCTTTTTTGTTTTTTATTTCTTTCTTCTTCCTTATTTTTTATGGATGCTGTGTTTTGTTTTACAGTTTCTTCATTTTTTTTTCCTTCAAATTTTCTTTCGTTCTTTTTTTTTCGCTCTTTCTTTCTACCTTCTTCCTTTTCTAATTTTATCTCAGATTTCCTTTCTTTATTTTCTTAAATCTTTTCTATCTTATATTCTTTCTTTGTTTCTTTTTTTATATCTTTCTTTCTCGTTGCCGTCTTTTTTCATTCCTTTTCATTTTATTTACGCATTCATTTTTTTTTCTTTTTCAGTTTCCTTCCCTTATTCTTTCTTATTGCTTTACTTAATGCCATCCTTCAATCATTTTTCAGTTTATTCATTCGTTCTCCATTTCTTCTTTCTCATTTTCTTTTATTTCCGCTTCAATTTTTTCCTTCCTCCCGCCTTCCACCATTTCTTTCTTTTTTCTTTGCTACTTTCTTTATTTCTTTACTCTTTTCTTTTTCTTTCTTTCTTTCTTTCTTTCTTTCTTTCTTTCTCTTTTTCTTTCTTTCTTTCTTTCTTTCTTTTTTCTTTGTTACTTTCTTTGTTTCTTTAGTCTTTTCTTTTTCTTTCTTTCTTTCTTGTTTCTTTGTTACTTTCTTTGTTTCTTTAGTCTTTTCTTTTTCTTTCTTTCTTTCTTTCTTTCTTTTTTCTTTCTTTTTTTGTTACTTTCTTTGTTTCTTAAGTCTTTTCTTTTTCTTTCTTTCTCTCTTTCTTTCTTTCTTTCTTTCTTTTTTCTTTGTTACTTTCTTTGTTTCTTTTAGTCTTTTCTTTTCTTTCTTTTTTTCTTGTTTCTTTTGTTACTTTCTTTGTTTCTTTAGTCTTTTCTTTTTCTTTCTTTCTTTCTTTCTTTCTTTTTTCTTTCTTTTTTTGTTACTTTCTTTGTTTCTTAAGTCTTTTCTTTTTCTTTCTTTCTCTCTTTCTTTCTTTCTTTCTTTCTTTTTTCTTTGTTACTTTCTTTGTTTCTTTAGTCTTTTCTTTTTCCTTCTTCCTTTCTTTCTCTCTTTCTTTCTTTCTTTCTTTTTTCTTTGTTACTTTCTTTGTTTCTTTAGTCTTTTCTTATTCTTTCTTCCTTTCTTTCTCTTTCTTTCTTTCTTTCTTTTTTCTTTGTTACTTTCCTTATTTCTTTACTCTTTTCTTTTTCTTTCTTTCTTTCTCTCTTTCTTTCTTTCTTTATTCTATTTTTTCTCATTAACATCGTTTCTTCATTCCTCCACATTTTATTTATTTATTCATTTTTTTATTCCTTCACTTATTCCTTTAATTAATCTATTTTCAGTTCATTCATCAGTAATTTTTCTCTCTCCTTTTCTTTTGTTTTTGCTTTAAATTCCATTCCTTCCTTCCTTCCTTCCTTCCTTCCTTCCTTCCTTTTTTCTTTTTTTCTATCTTGCATTTGTTTTAATTCATTATTTATCCGCGGATTCCTTCTTTGTTTATATCTTTCTTTTTAATTCATTCATTCTTTGTTTCTTTTATTCATTTAATCTGGCTTATTGAAGATTATCGCCTTTCTTTTCGGACCTTTGAGCAGTTCATTTCAAAATACACCAGAATGACGCCTACACATTGCCCGAAAGTAAATGAGAACTTTCACAAAAACAATTTTAAAGAAGTCATAAAAATTTAAAGACATTTTTTAAAATTAGACATTACACTCAAATTATCAAGATAAAATAATCGGGTCATGTAATCAATCAATCAATCTATATATATCACATTCTGCATCTATCTATCTATCTATCTATCTATCTATCTATCTATCAATCACATTCTGTATCTAAATCTGTTCATATCTATCTATCTATCTATCTATCTATCTATCTATCTATCTATCTATCTATCACATTCTGTATCTAAGTCTGTTCATATCTATCTCTCTAAGTTTGTTCATATCGATAAGGGTTTTATTGCCGGTAATATTTTTTTATCTATCTATCTATCTATCTATCACAAGTAGGTAAGTGTATTTTTAGGTTCGATTAAAGGGGACGTACTCTAAAAATACAAGCAAACACACCGCTTCTTGGTAAACCGAATTTTTGTTTATAATTTTTTTTTTTAATTCAAACAGAAGAAACAGTGGTTATTTATTAGTTTTCATAGATGTATAATTTTATTTTTGTGTAGTTCATGTGATTCCATATCTCGGCTGGCCTAAACTATTTTTCCATGTTTATGTTTCTTATCCTCTGGATTAGGTCAGTAGAGTGTTTAATGTTTGTTGGATTGATGCTGCCTAAAAACAAAGTTAGGACGTTTGCAAATGGCTTAATTGTTGATACTGGACACATGATGCTTATGTCGGCTTTGTGTTGGTTGTTTTGTCTTATGGCATATCAAAACCACAGTGGGTCATTTAATGCCAACAAAATTTTGAAATAGATTCATAACAATAGCTTGGTAAAAAAAAAGGTGTGTATGTATACATATATATATATATATTTGAACCGTTTTTTAATTACTCATATTTTTCAGTACAATCCAACTTCTTTTAGGAAATTTACAATCTTGGATGGTTTTATTTTTGTAAAAAGATTTTTTTTTAAATTACACTCTTGGTTTGGTTTGGTTTCGTTTCGGTCTGGGAACATCAACAATTAAGAGGTGGTTCCATGCTACTCAAAACCTCCTGATCAGAGGCCTTGCTGCTGGACGTAGTTTATCGTCTTTCCCAGGATGCAGATGTAGTTTATCGTCATACCCAGGATGGGCGGGTTTGTATGTCTTAGGTACGCTGCATATTGCAGGTGTAGTAGGGTAGTATTCTATTAGTTTAGTCCTAGATTTGTTTTCATTCTTTAACAGTTTCTTGACTGTTTTCCTGAATCTTTATGTATCTGTATTTATTTTTTGCTCGTTGCCTTTTTTAGTAAATATTATCATCATTTAATGAGGATTCTAAGTTCTCAATGTCGTTTTTGGTATCCTTGGGAGCTATCCTGCCTCCTTCATCATATGGAGATGGAGCGGGAGATGACCCAGGAGACATATCGATTGAAATAAAAATGCATATATTTACACTATTTACATTATTCGCACTATTGTCCATCTTTATTGTCATGGTAACGACATTTCGGCCATTGTACGCTCCGGCCTTCTTCAAGTGATATATCTTCGAAACCAAAACCATTATTTAGTCCACATGGATAGATTGTTCTAATTCCACGTGCCATGCCTTTCGCTATCTCAGTTTCAGTTAATTCCCTTTAGTATCTTAACTCTCAAAGTTTTTGTTCCCTCTACTTTAATCCACTGGACCCAGTAGATAAAAGTGTTGGTTGCTTGATCCAAAAGTGACATGACCCAAACAGTTGTGAGTTCAATACCTGGCGACAGCCGGAATTTATCTGACACATACATTATGTCTACATTTCGCCCATGCCATGAATGTTGCTGTCACATCTGGCCTGGTCTGTCTGATAGGTAGTTAGAGATTCTTGTTTAAATACAAAGAGTCTGCAATATAATTGGCTCTGTTCTGGCATCTCGGCTTCAGTCAATTTCTCACCGCAATGCAGCTTCCTTGTGCCTTTTCTATAAATACTTACATGGTAATCTTTTTGATGAATGTAAGCATACTACTAGATTAGCGGCAAGGTTTCATCACCTTACAGCTGAAATGGCTAGATGTAACCGCAAGTCCTATGTTAAGAGTTTCTTCTCTCTCACTTCACGCATGTGAAACAACTCTGATCTTAATTTAAATGCAATGTCGTTCGTTATCTTCCGTCTTTTTAATTCCTGTTCTTTTATTGTTCTCCCTCCTTAATAATGTTTTTTTTTCTCATATTATCTAACACTCAATAATCCCTTGAGTTTTACCGGCTTTATTGTGTAATGGGTTGAAATGATTAAAATAAAGTAATCCCACCATTTTTCCCCAGGGACTCTGTTATTAATTGCACCGTCTACATCGTTGTTCTGGATAGGTTGATCAATCCTTCCTTGATTGCTGCTCATGTTTCTGTAGTAATCTGCTCACACACACACACACACACACACACACACACACACACACACACGTAACTCTTGTGGTCCAGACGTGGCTAAGCAATAATTTTTTTGATCATGTTACCTCATTGACTTTCCAATTTGAATCATGATATTAGGTTTTGGGTGTCATCGAGAGGGAGACCGTTCAGTGGCCAAAGAATAGCAAAGACACGTAGACGGCCGTCATCTTAGACGTGATAGTCAACATGGCCAACAATCAGAACATCGAGATCTTCAAAGCCAACCTTGTTTACGGGATTAGAAAACGTTCGACTAAAGTACAGGGCATTATTTAAACAACAATATTTCTTTATCTATTATTTATTTTCTCGTTCTTATTTTTATATTTGGTCTAGGGCACAACAGAAATCTGTTGAAAACAGACGCTGGAGACTGAAAAAGTCGTTATTGCCTCTCGTACAAGCGATATTTACATATTTAATAACTGGGGTGATCATCATATTTAACTGCAGTCTTTTACATCAAATTCGGAAGGAAATTGACATAGGTCAACGAGTGCTTACCGTTTATCTGTAATGAAGACGCACGTTAGAATTCGGTGAAATAAATAGACCAGTAGATAGATAGATAGATAGATAGATAGATAGATAGATAGATAGATATGGGCAGAAAGGGATAGATAGATGGACAGATAGATAGATATGGGCAGAAAGGGATATATAGATAGATAGATAGATAGATAGATAGATAGATAGATAGATAGATAGATATGAGCAGAAAGGGATAGATAGATAGATAGATAGATAGATAGATAGATAGATAGATAGATAGATAGATAGATAGATATGGACAGAAAGCGATAGATAGATAGATAGATAGATAGATAGATAGATAGATAGATAGATAGATAGATAGATATTCAATATATATATATATATATATATATATATATATATCAGAGAGAGACAGACGCACCTGCAGAAAGGCATTGAAATCAGGATAGTAATATATCATTTTTTTTAAATATGGAAATCCAAGCCTCGAAAATCAGGATATACTGAAGAGTGGAACAATGAATAATTTACATGGATTGCAATAGAAAGAGAGATAGATATTAACGGAATGTGATAGATAGATAGATAGATAGATAGATAGATAGATAGATAGATAGATAGATAGATAGATAGATATGAACAGTATTACAGAGATAGATAGATAGATAGATAGATAGATAGATAGATAGATAGATAGATATGAACTGAATTAAACAGATAGATAGATAGATAGATAGATAGATAGATAGATAGATAGATATGAACAGACTGTGATAGATTGATACAAGCATACAAAGAAAGAAAGATAGATAGATATGAACAGAATTGCATAGATAGATAGATAGATAGATAGATAGATAGATAGATAGATAGATAGATATGAACAGAATTACATAGATAGATAGATAGATAGATAGATATGAACAGTATTACAGAGATAGATAGATAGATAGATAGATAGATAGATAGATAGATAGATAGATAGATAGTTATGAACAGAATTAAACAGATAGATAGATAGGTAGATAGTTATGAACAGAATTAAACAGATAGATAGATAGATAGATAGATAGATAGATAGATAGATAGATAGATATTCATATATGAACAGACTTAGATAGATAGATAGACAGATAGATAGATATGGGCAGAAAGCAATAGATAGATGCGTAAATTTCTCTCTCTGTCTCTCTACGTCTACCCCCCTCTGTCTCTTGTATGTGTGCGCGTGCGTTTGTTCATATTTATACATGGACAAACCTATATAGACGCATGGACATAGCCATATATAAGCTTTTACATTTCCATGCATGTTTCTATATGCTTGTATGCATTCGTGCACAAATATCTCGTGTGTGCATATTTTTATCACGATATAAATTGCTTTTGGTGAAACTGTGCAAGTTGCAATAAGTGATAATATCTAGCGACTGTAGGCAATGTCAAACCGCTGCTTAACTATATATCATTGAGGAGCTAATAGCAATATTACATCAGATTGAAATCGATATCAACCAGAAGGATATAGAATTTAAAAAATGACCCCCAATTAAACAGGATTTCTTAAGAATATTAAAAGAGTTTCCTCTAACAGACATACAAACGCTCACTCGCACTTTTTTCTCTCTCTCTCTCTCTCTCTCTCTCTCTCTCTCTCTCTCTCTCTCTCTCTCTCTATCTCTCTGTCAGTCACACACCGGCATTATATATATATATATATATATATATATATATATATATATATATATATATATATATATATATATCCCAGTAAGATTTTAAAATCTGGTCCCCCTCCTACTTAACACTTTAATAAGCAAATGTATTGTTTTCTGAGTCTGACCAAGCATAGAGATAAATACAATATGGGAACCAGTAATAAGGAGTGCCAGAGAAAAGCAATGATAACAACAAAGTTGCAATATGAGCTCTGGTAAAAACATGGAATAACAGCAAAACTCCAATATGAGCACTGATAAAAATGGTTGCTGAAGACATTAGGTTTATAATACCCAGAAATTCTTACCCAGATGTCCTCAAGGGCATATAGCACATTGGATAAAGGCGTTGGTTAGATCAAGTGACAAAGAATGTGAGTTCAATACCCGTTTAAGGCAGTGGAGAACTTTCTGGAAATTGACAGGAGATAACTGATAACTGACATCCATGGCACGTGGAACTAGCGCGCGAAATAAAGGGTTCAGTTTGACATTCCAACCACATGCAGTGTACAACGGCCGAAATGTTGTAATAATTATGGCAACAAAGATTCG